TTCTTTACAAGTAGCTAAAAAGAATCACCAATTCAAAATAAAAACAAAAAATTAGCTGTCCACTACAGACACGTGACCGTTAACTGCAAAGAGGCTCATATTGAAGGAAAACTTTGCATTACATACACTTATTTCAATAAAGTTAGTCGCCTGAAAAGCTACAAAGGTGAGACCAACAAGGATTATGGGTAGTTACATTTTACATGTTTCAACCGCTTTAACAACTGTTGATGGATTTTAGATCTTTTACCAGTTACAGTCTCACCTCTCCTGAGCCTCCTCAAGCTGCAAATTGTAGCAAAAGCTTTACTTGTTTGATATGAAAAGTTTCCTATGATCCTCAGGGATCTCAGCTTTCTAGTTTTTTTGGTGACTAACTTTATTGAAATAAGTGTATACCTTACGATCTTTTTTTCCAGTCGAGTTTGATTTCCTGTATTCCAACATGACTGTGGAGGAAAACATGAGGTACATCTCGATCCCTATCAACAAAACTGGACGTTCAGCGATTCCAGTCAACTTTAGGTATGCTTAATATGGATAGGAAATTGAAACGATTTATCATCAGTAGTATCATTGACTAGTATTTATTTTATTTAAATAATAAACCCCTTTCGAATTCCAAATTACTGCTGTGTTTCTTGATTACAGACTCATTAGCACAGGGTTAGCCTCAAGTTTGTGCAGAATATTCACGTGTTCCAGTCAAGGTCTGTCGAGTTTCAAAATGTTTGTATTGTTAAAGTTGTGCATTCTTTACTTTTCTGTTGGTATTTGTAAATATTTAAACACTGATACGAGGCTAACCCTGTGCAAATGAGTCTGTAATCAAGGAACACAGCGGTAATTTGGAATTCGAAACTGGTCTATTTGCCATAAGGCAGGTGCTATTGGTGAAGTGTGTACGCTTGCTTTTACTAAAATTAGGTCATGGCGAACTCACAAAGCCTGAAACAATTTAACCTCTGGGCTGATCTAAGTCAGGGCACGGCTAACTCACAGATTGAACCCTGTAACAACCTCTAAACTGATCTAAGTCAGGGAACGGCTAATTCATAGATCAAACCCTAAAACAACCTCTGGGCTGATCTAAGTCAGGGCATGGCTAACACACATATTGAACCCTGTAACAACCTCTAAGCTGATCTAAGTCAGGGAACGGCTAATTCATAGATCAAACCCTAAAACACCGTCTGACCTAGTGAATGCAAATTCATGCATGATCAAGCCACGACTCACAGATAGAGTTGGAATTTAGGATTTATTTATTTAAAAAATAAATAAAAAAATAAAAAAATAAAAAAACCCCGCTCGAATCAAGAAAGACCCAACAAAAGCCTTTCACTCGATGACAAGACCACGACTCAAACCTGTGACCCCAGAGATGAGAGGCTAATGCAATACCTGGACACCAGCGTACCAACGCTGATTTCCAGGCACTACCTTTTCTTTTCGTGTGGCTTTGATTCTGTCATCTTGTTCTGCAGGCTAACAATGGACGACAAGTCTTACAGCACAGCAATAAGAGGCGTTGACTACGAAGATCGCCATGGCAACATCATTACATTCCCAGCAAGTGACCAACAGCTATCAACAATGTACGTGAACGTGACGATCAAGATGGACGGCAAGGCAGAAAGTAGTGAGGTATTTTCGGTTGGTTTGGAAGCTGTGGACTCGAGTACTTCGACAATTGGCAGCAAGAACACGATGGTCGTTAAGATCACCGACAAGAAAGATAACGGTAAGAATCTGGGAAAAAATAAAAGCCTTTGATTCTTCGGTTACAAAACGAGAAGGAACTGGAACCGAGTTTCCTAAATTTGATAAAATAGACCGTTTACTCAAGATTGCGTTTGCATCCAAATTTTTAAGGAACTTGACGGGCCACGATACAAGAACACGAGTATTATCATGCATTGCTATGATATTTTTTTTTCCTATAAGAATTCATAAAGTCGATTTATTCTCCTGTTTAAATATAGAATTGTCTTCTCAATTTTACTGAATGTGCGTTTTTCAGTTTTGTGGCCCGTCAAGTTGGATGCGCACGCAACCTATGCACTTTTTTCGAGTTCCAAATTACCGCTGTGTTCCTTGTTTACAGACTCATATGCCCCGGCAGGGTTAGCCTTGTATCAGTGTTTAAATATTCACAAATACCAATGGTAAAGTAAAGAATGCACAACTTCAACAATACAAACACTTTGAAATTCTATGGACCTTGACTGGAACACGTGAATATTCTGCACGAAATCAAGGCTAAACCTGTGCAACAAAGAACTCGAAACTGGAGTATAGAAAAAACACCCCCCTCCGTCATGAAAAAGAACACATAAAAATTGGTATTAAATAATTTAAAATTTGATCAAATTGAAACAAAATTATAATATTTAAAAAATGTAGACAATGTATGTGTTGCTGCTGGATGGTTTGGCTGGACAACCGTACATTTTTTCAATGCAATTCAATCCAATGCAATTTCGGCAGAGTTAGAAGGCTTATAACATTGTTTCTATAAAGTCAAACATCTTGAAACTTGATTAAGCTTGTTGTATGTTGCTCTTTCATGTGATAGGGTATTTTTCCAGAAATTTTATTCAAACCGTTTCTTTTCAAACTAGGACCAAGTCCCTTGCTCGATTCGTTACTGGCCAATTGTTTTTCGCGACCCGAGTGAAAAACGCTAGCCTTCTACGCAGACGTTCTTATTGTCTGTCACGCAACGTTTCCCTTGTGACAGAAACTAGGAATGACTGCGTAAAATGCTATAAAAGAAGTCTGGGCAGTGCTCGTTTTTGTATGCACCTCAAATGCTAATTTTACGGAGGAATTCGAAGGAACCCGGATGAGGAGAAACTTTCGAGGCAAAAGGAGAACTGCATATCAAACAAACATGTAATTAAAAATAGTGCTTATTTTTTTCACAGATGATTTCGCAGCTAGAGAAATGCAAAGAGATCAAGGTAAGACATAATTTCTCTACGTGTGCTAAGAGTCAATACTGAACGCCCATGAGGTAAGAGGACGTACAAACTAATGGCTCGTAGATCATGAGTGCGAGGAGGGAGGRTAAAACTCGAGCTACGATTTTCGAGTTACGCACTTCGGGTTACAAACTTTTCGAGTTACTCGCTAGGACACACCCATATTTCAAAGGCCACGCCAACTTTGACTTCTTTGCTTAGCTCGATGACAAACAGCGTTGAAATCAAACTCGAGTTACGTAACTCGAACCCAACAGATTGAACCTTATTTTTCGAGTTACGCGCTATTTACGTAACTCGATTCTAAAAGTTACGCATTTCGAACTTGATTTCAAAGATGTTTGTCATCGAGTTACGCACAGATGTCAAAGTGGGCGTGGACTTAAATATATGGGTGTGTCCGAGCGCGTAACTCGATAAGTGTGTAACTCGAAGTTTGTTAACTCGAAAATTGTAACTCGAAGAATGCCTTATCTCGAGTGCGGGGGGTCTAATTATTGTAGTTTAAACTTAGTAATCGGTTAAATAATTGGATATAAACAATTTTGAAATTAGGTTGAAAACGCGAGTTAGCTACAAATGTTTTGGCTTTTATGACTTTTAAAACCCGGACGCGTTTTTTGGTGTAACACTAACAGACCACTAGTAGCTCAGCCAATAAGAGCGCAGGATTTGTGATAGACCATAAGTAGGTTTATATTATGAAATAATAATAAGATCTATATGTTAAGTGTATGCTACATCGAGTCCCGCGAGAACCCAACTGAGGCAGATTTTTAATCTGCTTATACACTCGATGTAGCATACACTTAACACATAGATCTTTACCGAGTGACAAAAACACATTTCATAAATGATAAGATCGTTTTCGAATTCCTACAATACCGCTGTGTTCCTTGATTACAGACTCATTTACCCAGGGTTAGCCTCGTATCAGTGTTTAAATATTCACAAATACCAACGGTAAAGTAAAGAACGCACAACTTCAACAATACAAACACTTTGAAACTCCAAAAGGAACTTCACTGGAACACATGAATATTCAAAATAATGCCATACGGAATTGAGGCTAACCCTGAACTACAGAAACATTGAAACTAAAGCTATATTGGATAACAACCCTTGCGCATCACATCAGAAAAACTAGGATCACGATCAAAAACAAATCAAAGGTCAAAGTGCAAGAGAGATCCTTTACAAAGAAACCACTAAAGTGCACGCACTAAACCCGTGAATAATATTTAGTACTAATTAGTAGTAATTCATACAGAATCCTTTGTTTCCTATTGTTTGATTATCACTATTTACAGCTGTAGTACTAAACAGTAGTATTTGTTTCATGGGTTTAGTGCGAGCACTCTAACCCTCTTACTTAGCAGGCAACAACTTAGCTACTTTTTTGGTATTTTTTTTTTTAGACGAAAAGAAACGAACCGACACTTTATTTCTCATCCTGTACTTAACCGTCGCCTTTGCTGCTGTCATCATCATTATCTTGATAATGATTTGCGTCTTAATCATCAAAAAGTAAGTTTATGATGGATGGTTGACAGAACGAATGAAAAATGAATGAAAACGTAAAAATGATGGATGGAAGGATGGACGGATGGGTGGATGGACGGACGGATGGTTGGACGGACGGATGGACGGACGGACGGACGGACGGATGAAATATAAGAAGATTTATACCCAATTATTATTTTTTGCAGGCTGAAGAAGGAGGGAAAATGAGTCATAGCCAAACTTAAACCTATTCACTGGATACAAAGACACCTCATTAAATATAACTAAGCAACCAGGCCTATACATGGATGTGAGGCTCCTAGTGATATCTAGGTTTTTTAGTACCCACTCAAAAGCACTCAAAAGCACTATACGAATTTGTAAAAAGAAAAGGAAAAAAAAAAAAAAAAAAAAAAAAAAAAAAAAAAAAGTAGCAAAGACGTCTTTTTTAATATCGTCCAAAATACAGTTCGGTTGAAAGTTCAATGGAAAAATCTTTGGATTCAGTGACGTCATCTACTCAATACCAAACATCGCTCAAAACAATTGCTTCATATATGTTTAGTTAGTTAATTTCAACCGAGCTATCAGCAGCAATTGTGACCAGCTCACTAGGTAAACCATTCGTATTGGAAGCCATTTTAAAGTTACTGCATGTCGTGCCATGCACGTGCTCAGTGTAAGGCAGTATCGTACGTAACCTACTCATACGACAACCATTCTTATGGGAAGCCATTTCGATGTTACGGCATGTCGTACCGTGCACTTGCTGTAAGACGGTATCGTACATAACCTACTCGTACGACAACCATTCTTATGGGAAGCCATTACGACGTTACGGCATGTCGTAC